ACAGCTGGCCTGAAACTCACTCTATAGACCAGGCTGGTCTTGATCTCATAGAGATCCACCTGCTTCTACCTCCAGAGTGCTTGGATTAAAGGTGTGTGCCACAGTACCTGGCAACCAACCACCTTTTAAAAATTTTTATTCTTTATTTTTATTTTATGTGTTTGAGTGTATTGCCCGCATGTATGTGAGTGCACCTGTGTCATGCAATGCCATGGAGGTCAGAAGCAGACTTTGGATTTCCCTGGAACTGGAGTTAAGGACGGTGTGTAGCTGCCATGTGAGTGCTGGGACTCGAACCCGGGTCCTCTGAAAGAGCAGTCAGTGCTCTTAACCACTGAGCCATCTCTCCAGCCCCTAAAAATTATTTTTTTTAAAAAATTAAAAAAAAATTAGCTGGGTGTGGTGGCACATGCCTTTAATCCCAGCACTCAGGAGGCATGCTGTCCTCTACCTTACAACCTTGCAGAGATTTGTCTGCCTCTGCCTCCAGAGTGCTGGTATCAAAGACGTATACCACCATGTCTGGCAAACATGTAGTTTTTTTTTTGTCTTTTTGAGACAGGGTCTCCCTGTAGTCACAGCTGACCTGAACGCACTACGTAGACCAGGCTGGCCTTGAATTCACAAGGATCCGCCTGCCTCTGCCTCTTTTTTTAAATTTTATGTGTATGCGTGTATTGCCTGCATGTAGGTAAGTGCACCTGTATCGTGCAATGCCCTTTGAGGACAGAAGAGGCTGTTGGATACCCTGGAACTGGAGTTATGGACAGTTGTTAGCTGCCATGTGGGTGCTGGGATTCGAACCCAGGTCTTCTGCAAGAACAGTCAGTGTTCTTAACCACTGAGCCATCTTTCCAAACCCGCACTTTACTTTTTAAAATAGGGTCTCACTTGCCCGGCATGGTGGCGCATGCCTTTAAACCCAGCACTTGGGAGGCAGAGGCAAGCAGAGCTCTATGAGTTCAAAGCCGGCCTGGTCTACATAGTGAGTTCCAGGCCAGTTGGGGCTACAAGGAGACCCTATCTCAAACAGGAGAAAAAAAAAAAAAAAGACAGGGTCTCTCATTGAACCTGAAGACTGCCCATTTGGTGAGATTAACTAAACAGCAAACCCCAGGAATCATCCTGTCTCTGCCTCCTGTCACTGGGATTACAGGCCCGAACCACAGGTTTTTTATGTGGGTGCTGGGAAACTGAATTCAGGTCCTTGAGCTTGGAGAGCAAGCACTTTACCAACTAAGCCATCTCCCTAACCCTTGTTGTTTTCTTGGTTTTTCTTCCTTTCTTCCTTCTTCCCTCCCTCCCGCCCTCCCTCCCTCCCTTCCTTTCATTTTTATTACATTTATTTACTTACTGTGTGTGTGGAGGTCAGAGGACAACTTGGGGGAATCCTTTTTCTCCTTCCACCTGGGGGTCCAGGATACTGAACCAGGTCATCAGGCTTGGTGGCCAGTGCTCTTACCCTGTGATCCATCTCACTGGCCCCTCCTTTTTTTTCTTTTCTTTTTTTTTGGTCTTTTTGAGACAGGGTCTCCCTGTAGCCCCAAGCTGTTCTGGAGCTCACTATGTAGACCAGGCTGGCCTTGAACTCACAGAGATCAACCTGCCTCTGCCTCCCGAGTGCTGGGATTAAAGGCGTGCACCACCATGCCTGGCCTTCTCTCTCTCTTTTTTTTTCTTTTCTTTATTTCTGTCTTTTTTTTAGACAGGGTTTTATTACATAGCCCAGGTTTGTCCATCGTGATCTTCCTGCCTCAGGCCTCCTAGTAGCGGGGATTATAAGCACGTACAAGCATGTGCCACTGAACCCAGCTTGAGGTTTTTCATAAAACAAGAGTCTATCCCAGGCATCAAACATCTATCTCTACCATTTTTCTCAACTTTCTAGTGAGTTCTAACAGAGCAGGTGTTTCTTCACTGTTGACCTTACCAGTGACTACAGTAAGACCTTCATAATGGGTGCTGAACAAGTAGATGCTTGAGTGACTGACTGAATGAATCTGTGCTTTCTCCCAGCCAAAGACTCCCACCACTTAGTACTCTTTTTAAAATTTTTAAAAATATTTTATTATTTTTATTTTATGTGTATGTGTGTATTGCCTGCATGTAGGTAAATGCACCCGTGTCGTGAAATGCCCACGGAGGTCAGAAGAGGCTGTCGGATCCCCTGGGACTGGAGTTATGGACAGCTGTTAGCTGCCATGTGGGTGCTTGGATTTGAACCCGGGTCTTCTGCAAGAACAACCAGTGTTCTTAACTGCCGAGCCATCTCTCCAGCCCCTTAAAATTTTTTTAAACTTTAAAAAAAATTATTTTTATTTTATGTGTATGTGTGTATTGCCTGCATGTAGGTAAATGCACCCGTGTCGTGAAATGCCCAAGGAGGTCAGAGAGGCTGTTGTATCCCCTGGGACTGGAGGTTGTTAGCTGCCATATGGGTGCTGGGATTCAAACCCAGGTCTTCTGCAAGAACAGTCAATGTTCTTAAGCGCTGAGCTATCTCTCCAGCTCCCCCCCCTTTTTTTTGGTCTTTTTGAGACAGGGTCTCCCTGTAGCCCCAGCTGTCCTGAAACTCACTATGTAGACCAGGCTGGCCTTGAACTCATAGAGATCCCCCTGCCTCTGCCTCCCGAGTGCTGGGATTAAAGGCATGCGACACCATGCCTGGCTCTAGCTCCCTTTAAAAAAAAAAATTATGTGTAGTATTTTGTCTTTGAGTAACTGTCCCAGCTCCAGTGCTGCAGGCACATTGTTCCTGAGCCTCTGTGGTGCTACTGGTGCCCCTCACCCACTGCTTTCTCAGCTCCAATATGCTGCAATTATGCCTGCATGTATGTAAGTTCGTCCATGTTGTGCAGTGCCTATGGAGGACAGAAGAGGGAGTTGGATCCTCTGGAACTGGAGTTGTTAGCTGCCATGTAGGTGCTGGAATTCGAACCCAGGTCTCATGCAAGAGCAACCAGTCCTCTTAACCTCTGAACCATCTGTACCTGTGTTGTGCAATGCCCACGGAGGTTTGAAGAGGGCATCAGATCCCCTGGAATTGGAATTACAGACAGTTGTTAGCTGCCATCTGTGTGCTGGGAATTGAACCCAGATCCTCTGCAAGAGTAGCCAGTGCTCTTAACCACTGAACCATCTCTCCAGTCCCTGTTGTTTTGTGAGGCAGAGTCCCTTGCTGCCCCAGTTGGTCTTGAACTGGTCCATCCTACTACCTCCAGAGTGCCTGGATTTCAGGATTGTGCCATCAGACCCACCCAGTTTGCAATAACAGTGGTGCTATTTTCAATGATAATGCATTCATTTTAATTATTCTGCTGGCTGTCTTCAACTCCTTTGTCAGTACCCCTCCATCCAACCAGTTTATATAGTCCCTCTTTCCAAAAGCTCTTCCTGAATCCCAAGTTGGTTCCGGTCCCCCCCCCCTTTTTTTTTCGTCTTTTTGAGACAGGGTCTCCCTGTCTCCTTCCCCCTTTCAAGTCTGTTCTTCTGACTTGAGTTTCCCTGTCTTAGCCCTGCTGCCTGTCTATAGCTGGCTGGTGACCTAGCTGTCTTCCAAATCCGTTTTGGGAAACCTGCAAGTCTGGGGCTGTTGCCCTTTTCAGGGATTTGTCACTTCTTCCAGGAAGCCCCTGGGTGGCTGGCTGTCGCGCTGGATAGGGAACCTGTTGTGGATTCCTATCGTGCCCCGGTTTCCCAGTGTCCCAATCCCTGATCACACAACCCTGGGCTTTCCCAGTCACATTCTTAATCACTCTTCCCTACGCTTCCGCATCACTCACTACTCTGGGTTGCTCCGGTCTGCCCACACAGAGGCCAATTTGGCGTGGCCGCCTCTAGGTCCCGGGCATTTGGCCAAGGCTCAGTGAACGCTGAATTTAGTAAGAATAAACTTTTTGCAGGGATGGTGCCGCATACCTTTAATCCCAGCATTCGGGACGCAGAGGCAGGCGGATCTGAGTGAGTTTAAGGCCAGCCTGGTCTACATACCGAGTTCCAGGTCAGCTGTGGCTACAGGAGACCCTGTCTCAAAAAGACAAAAAAAAAAAAGAAAGAAAAAAAAATAAAACCCTTTCTCCCAAAGGAGGGCTAAAGCAAGGCAGGCAAAAAGCCACAGGTTTTCAAGAAGCGTGTGTCTCTAAATGACAGAATGTATTAATCCTAGTGGGGGTGCTATGGGAGAGGGCCAATGGGGAAGGGAATATAAAGATATTCTGTATGAAATACACAGAACTTCAATAATTTTTTTTTTAAAAAAAGCCCGTGTCTCCCAGCCCTAGCGGCAGAACAAGCGCGATGGCGCAGGGGCATAGTGGCCCGGCAGAAGGGTAGGAACACTCCGCAGGCCCCGCCCCCCAGGTCCGGTAGGGGCGGGGCTAACACAAGTCACGCTTCCTCCCCGGGCCAGGGGCGGGTCCAGGTGCGCGAAGGGCGGGGAGCAGCCGCTCAGGTGCCGATCCTCTGCGCCTGCGCCGCGCACGCTCCGCCCCCGCCAGGTGAGCCCCGCCCCCTGCCTGGCCTCCACCTTGTAGCTGCTTCAAGGCGTCCGCCATTGGCTGTGACGACCCCCGGACGCTTTGGGGTGTGGTGTACCTGAGTCGGGGGCGAGTGGCAGAGTGTGCCGGGGCGTGTTGGGACTGACTGACTACGTCGCGCGCGAGCGCGGGAGCCAGTGTCCACACGCCGAAGGTCCGAGAAGCGGGCTTCCGGGGACCGCCACACCTGAGCGCACGGGCTTCCAGTGCGCGTGCGCGGCTGGGGCCTTCACGCACCTGACCGCGACACTAAGACGGCCGGCGGCTCGAGGCCTGGCGCGCTTGGTGGGCAGCAGGTCATGGCGGAGCTGTGTGGGCCGCGGCGGGGCCGGGCGCTCCTTGCCCTGCTGGCTTCGCTGCTTCTCTCCGGGGCCCAGGCGGCCGACGGAGACGTAGGCATCCACGGTGAGGGACGGACGGGAGCTCCCCGGGGAGGAGGGGTGGAGGAGGGCGATGGAGGGGGCCAGGATAAAGTGGGGTCGGTGCGAGGTGGAACCGGGGGCGCCTTGGGGGTGGTCAGAGCGTGGGGGTTGGGGAGCCAGACCTGCGAGTGGCGCCCTGAGAGATTTGGGGACCTATTGGCGTGAACAGCTGGTGGGGAGAGGCAAAGGTTGGCCAGGTTTCCTTCTGGGAGGAAGGAGGTGAGGGGTATTGATCCAAGAAGGCGTGGGGCTGGCCCATCCTGTAGCAGGAAGTGGGTGAAGAGCCCAGCTGAGTCTCTTCCCTAGCAGGGGAAATTCCGTAGCCCAAGAAAGCCTGGGGATGCATTTAGGACACCTGTGGGTTCAGAGACGGAGTCCCTAGGACACTTGATTGGATGTGCACCAGTCTGCCCAGTGAGGTCCAAAGGAAGCAAGTGGCAGAAGGGAGATTCCTTACCGAGGTGCCCGGACTGGAGCACCTGGTATGAGAGTGTGATACTGGCTTTGAGCAGCTGGACTTGGCTTCTTCAAGAGTTGTTACAACCTCAGCTGCTTCAGACAAGCACCAGCGGGTTTTGAAAAGGGATGAGTTGAAAGAATTCATTGATTCAGCAAACTCATTGACTCCTGCGGGCCCTGGTGATAGTAGTTGACTCAGACAAGCCAGATTCCTGCGTTCACAGAGCTTAGATTCCAGTGGGAGAGACTATGTACGTTTAAATACAGCCCACTTGCCAAAGATGAAATGACTAAGGAGTAACAGCCATGAAGTATTGGAATAGGGTGATGGAAGATGGGGGATACTTACCTCAGGTGAGGGGAGGGTACGTCTGAGCCCAGACATGCTGCGAGAAGACCTTGGGGTCATGGAGAACAAAAGCCTTGGACCAGAGTAAGCTTGATTTTGATCAAGGAAAAGACAGCCCACATGGCCTAGGGCCTTACTGACCAACATGGAGTGAAAGAGAAAGCAGGAAGTGAGGTAGCTGGGTCATCCCTTGTGGTAGCTTCTGAAAGTTGGTTAGTTCCCCTGTGTTTAAAGCAGAAAAATAGAAATGAGTCTTTGGGAATACTAATGGCAAGTGGGGAGAGGCACTCAGCTTTAGAGGATCCCGAGTCAAGAACACAGCTGTGAACCAGGATCTAGCAGCCCTTCCCGACTTTGAGATGAAGGAGTTATCCGATTGTACCTACAGGTACATGGCTCATGACTACATCTAGTCTGAACTTGTGTCTTCTAAGCCTGGAAACAGCCTGATGTGACTTCACAAGGCCTTGTGGAAAGTCATACCATAGTAATTGATGAGTCCCTGTCTGATCATGTAGGCCTTTTTCTGTTCATAGTGGGTGCTGCAACTGGCTGGACCTACTGATCTTTTAGAAGTACTATTGTCTGGCTGGGTGAACTGCTGCCCTCACTTATCTCAAATGCTGTTTGTTTGAAAGCTTCAACAGCTTGATCTGAGGCAGTTTTGATACCTATTTTTTCCCTCCCTTGCCTGTTTGGTTTTCTCAGCAAGCAATGTCATGTGCTCAGGTGAGGTGTTTGTCCTGGCACAGGGAGGTGAGGAGGGAATGAGTGTAAGAGTGAGTCTAATGGCTGCTCATAGAATTCAGTCTGCATGGGTGGCTTGAGGGACAGTGGAAAGGTGGTAAGACCAGCAGATTGCTAGAGACAAGCTTCTGGAAGGAATGTTCTAGAAAAGTAGGATGCAGTGGATGATGAGTATAGGTGAAACAGGTTTTGAAGAGGTCTAGGTGTTACTCTGAGAGTGAGGGTTATGGGGAGGACAAGGTCATTGGTGGAAGATAGGCGGTCAGAGAACAGACTCATTTGTCTCTGTATGGAAATCCCAGAAAGTGATGATAAACATAGCTTGAGAGGCAGCGAACCCAGGTAAGGGTTATGAAGAGGAGAGGAAGACCTGGGTCAGCAGTTGACTCACAAGATGGGCAGTTAACCTTCAGTTAACCTTCTACTCTGAACAAAGATCTGCAGCTGAGGGTTCAGGGAGGGTAGAGGGAGAATGGTCTGGAAGCAGGGACCCGGGTTCTGGTTAGAAAAAGGTGACGAGGTTCAGAAAAGAGATTGAAGAAATGAGATTTTTCTGGAGATAGGCCATAGGCACCAGAGGGCACAGGAGTTGGATAGAGATGGGGACCAAGCAGGCTGTATGAGTGTGATCAGTGTCATGTGGTCCGGCAATGCCAGTGTTGATGAGGCTCTGAGTAGCTGAGGGCAGGAGGAATGGTGTGGCAGGGTCACTGGGCACTTAGAGCATGAAGTCCATAAGCCTTACATGCTGGCAGCAGGGAAAGCTGATCCTGCACCTGCTGTTTCCAGCATTCAGGGACAGTTCCAAACTGCCCTGGAAACTGGCCTTTCCCAGAAGGCCCTATACAATTTGAGATGACTGTGATTTCCAGAGTTGGGAATATTTTTTTTTTTGGTCTTTTTGAGACAGGGTCTCCCTGTAGTCCCAGCTGTCCTGGAACTCACTATGTAGACCAGGCTGTCCTCGAACTCACAAAGATCCACCTGCCTCTGCCTCCCAAGTGCTGGGACTACAGGCGTGCGCCACCACACCTGGCTTTTTTTTTTTTTTTTTTGGTCTTTTTGAGACAGTCTCCCTGTAGCCCCAGTTGGCCTGGAAATTGCTCTCTAGACCAGGCTGGCCTTGAATTCACAGAGATCCACCTGCCTCTGCTCTTCTAGTGCTGGGATTAAATGCATGTGCCCCATGTCTGGTAGAGTTGGGAATTTTTTATGTAAAAAAATTAATTTGAGTCAGGTGTGGTGGTGCACACCTTTAATCCCAGCACTTGGGAGGCAGAGGCAGGCTTGGGAGGCAGAGGCAGGCTTGAGAGGCAGAGGCAAGCAGATCTCTGAGTTCAAGGCCAGCCTGGTCTACATAGTTCCAGGATAGCTGGGGCTACAGGGAGACCCTGTCTCAAAAAGACCAAAAGAAAAAAAAAAATTAATTTGGGGTTTTGCCTAAAAGTATGAAGATTTGATGGAACCTGAGCCTCTCTAGACAGGACATACCCTACTTCTCCAGTCTATAATTATATCTGTTTCAGTTGCCTGCTGACCCTCTGTATCTGTTCGCCTCCATTTAGTAAGAGGAAGTAGAGATTACCTGTCTTCTCTTATATGGAATGGTACAGTATGTGTGTGTTGGGGGGGCAGTTATTGCCTCAAGAAAAGAAAATCCATTTTACCAAATGCTTTACTTCCCTAGGTGATAAAGCCTGGTATTTATTAATTTTATTTATTTGTATTTTTTTATGTATACAAGTGTTTTGTCAACTTGTATGTAAGTGCACCTGTGTCATGCAATGCTTGCGGAGGGAGGCCAGATCCTCTGGAACTGGAGTTACAGGTGGTTGTGGGTGTGGGTGCTGGAACTGAACCTGGGTCCTCTGTAAGAGCAGCCAGTGCTCTTACCACTGGGCAATCTCTCAACATCTAAATCCTAGTATTTAGAGGGCCTTGATTATTACTTTTTTTTTTTTTTTTTTCCCAGGGCTGGGGTTTGAGCTTGTGATCCCACACATGCTAGGGAAGCACCTTACGCTGAGCTATACCCCCAATCTTTTTACTTCTTAAATTTATTTTATTTTATTTTTTAAAAGGGTCTTATGTAGCCCAAACTGGCTTCAGACTTGACATGTAGCCAAGAATGACCTTAAACTCCTGATCCTCCTGCCTCCAACTCCCAGCGACTGGGGTTGTAGACCTGTAGCATCACTCCTTATCACTTTTATTTTGAGGCAGACTGTAAACTCCTTCTGCAGCCCAGGCGGACCTTGCACTTGGGATCTTTTACTTCAACCTCCTGAATAGCTTGTGCCACTGCCTTGGCTGAAATAGTACAGTTTTGATCATTATAAGATCAGGTAGCATATTCAAGTTAGAAATTCCTTTAAGAGCAGGCAGTTTAGTTCCTGCTGCCATTAACTTTTAGCTATGCCTTGGGCATCAGAGCTGTTAATGGTTACTCGATTTAGCTTCTTTGTTGATAGTTCTTGGGAATTTCCATTGGATCTGAGCCCAACTAGGCTCGTGCCAGAGTCTCCGCTGACTTTCAAGCAAGCTTTAGTTTCCATTAGCCTCCTGAGTTAATGACAGCTTCCCCAACACCTACACTGCAAAGCAGACTTTGCCGCCACCAGCCTAGTGCACCATGAGTCCCTACTCTGCTCTTCTAGCTGATCCTGCTGGTCAGTCATAGCAGGTGAGAGCTGAAGTGCACCTGGAAGCAGCCAGATGTGTCTTCCTCCTGTGTGGGTAAGGCTGGCTGAAATGCTTATTTAATAATTTAGCCAACAAATGCTCATTAAGTACCTACTAAGTGTTAGGCAACAGTTTAGACCTTCAAAAGAGAACACTGAACAACGCAGATCTGTCCATCTGGCTGTTACTTTGTGGTGAGGGGAAGACAAGATTGTGCAGTAAACCAGCACCAAGGAACAGATGACTGGCTGTCGTGACACATGTCTTTAATCTCAGCACCCAGGAGGCAAAAGCAAGTGGATCTCTTTGAATTCAGACCAGCCTGGTCTACATATAAGTTCCAGGCCAGTCAGGACTATATAATGAAACCCCATCTCAAGAAACAAATCAAGGAACAGGTGAATATGCCTGGTGATAGGTGTGGTGATGAGTACAGTAAGGGTTGGTGTACTTGAGGCACCCAAGTGTAACAGCCTCTGATGGGAAGATGAGGGCCCTGATCTTTAGGTCCATTTAGGGAGTGAGCCTCCCCATCAGGAACATTCCTTTGCTCTGCCCCACATTTTTGAACTCAGCTTGGATGGAGGAAGTAAACTTGGATCACTCTGCCACCCTCCTTTTATCTGGGCTGTGATCACAGAGTCATTTACACACTCAGGCTTGTCTTGGGTAGCTGGCCAGGCAGCCAGGCCTCTGCCTCCCTAAGGCCAACAGGGGAGACCAAATAAGGGATGAATAGCCTGTGA